CCATGTTTGGGATTTGTGAAACTTTTTTCTGATTTGTGAAACTTCAAGAATTTTTTTTGTACCACTTATTTGCATCTGGATCACACTAGAACTGGTGTAATTCCAAAACTACAACAGCTAGACTCTTCAAACTTGGACTAAATTAATCTTCTCTAATAGTAGAATATTTAGAATCATGTTTCTGATTTGTGAAACTTAACAGACCCCTGCAAAAGATCTGTCCTTCCAACAGCCATCACAATCTACAATAACTCTGAAAAATTAATGAGTTACACCAACATTTTATTTCCCATTGGGATTAATAAAGTGGTTTTGAATTAGAAAAAAAAACTGCATTGAACATATAAGAATAGTAATCTGATCTTTAGTGAAGTTTCACAAATCCCAAACATGGTTTTATTCTGCTATTAATTGAAAATAATCTGATCCAGGTTTGAAGTGTCTAGGCTGGCAGCTAGCCCTGAAAACAGTGGCACTTGTGGCGCATAATGACACCTGCCACCGGAAGTGCCATCAGTAGGTGCGGTGTCGCAATTTGCACTGCTGTCCAAACGTCCAAAGCTCCGGTCAGAAGCTAAGTTAGCAAAACAATGTCTCAGAAAAGGATGTTTGCAGTTTTCTGGAGCGCAACGCGAAGCTCGACGTCATTCAGAGGTAAAATATTAACTTCACATCAACAAAGACACAGCAGGACGGATCATCAGAGAAATGATGGACTAAAACTAACTGGAGTTTACGTTCCAACCTGAGACTCATTAAATCTGCAAGTGACTTTAGGAACAAAACAAGCCCAAAGCCGCTTTTAATCATCGGACTTGATGGCAGAAACTCAAAATGGTTCCTTTCCAGCAACAAAATGAGCGTCTCCCTCCATTGTTTCTGTCGTTGCTGATGCTGTCGCATAGAAACGGTCGTAGAGGAAATTAAATTAAATTCCAAAAGAAAATAGCAACGCAAAGTGATTTCAATCAGTAACTTTAATCCGACTACTGGATTTGAAATAGAAACGCGTTGGATTACTCCTTACTGGAAGGAGTAATCTGACAGTAAAGTAACGTGTTACTGACATCATCACTGCCCATGAATCACAGTTTTGGTTCCTACCTGCTGCCTGGACCAGAACCAGGAGGATCAGGAGCAGAAAGGGACCCATTCCTCCAGGTCAGGAGACGAACTGAGCCACCTGAGGAACCCTACAGGTCAGAGTTCACCCAGAAACAAACATTACCTGAAGGACCAGCTCTCTAAAACACATTCACCAACGATAAGTACAGAAAGCGCGATAAAAACCATCATGGTTTAGGAATGAAAGCATAACTTTTTACAGACACTTAAACTCGAGAAGTTTTTTAAAAGTAAGGTAACAGGAAAAACTGGTATCCGATCGGTTAACTGCTCTTTTCTCACTGACCTAAATCTGTTCACAGACTGATACAGATGTAACCCACAGAGATTGGCCTCATCACAGAAATCAGTCAGATAGATGCTGTACTTACTGCTCTACACAGCGTCTAATTAAACAGTTACATTACCAACAACTACAAAGCTGTTTCAGGTTAACCCTTCATAAAAACACTGTGTTGTGCTGAGAATGTAACAGAATAATTAGTATGTTTCCAAAATAAAGTCTGACAGCCTGGTTGATTCTGTCCAGAACTGAGAAGAAAAACATCAGTGTGAAAATGTGAAACGTTCCAGAGGAATATGAGCTTTAATAATATTTCTGTCATATTTCTAGTAAAGATCATAGAGCCACTTTATGAGTCCAGGAGAATTAATATTGATTGGACTTGTCAAAGTTCCTGATGAATCCACAATGAGAAACAGTTCAGTGTTCGATGCCAGAACAGCAGGAGAGAGATCCATGAACCCATCAGCCTCGACCAATCAGCTCTGACCCCCTAATGAGGAAGAAGGTCCCGACCGCCACCCCAAGCAGACCCACGATCAGACCGACTCCACAGAACACTGCGGGTCCAACGCCGGGCTGAGGCACGTCAACATCTGGAGACAGAAAACAGAGACACAAGTCACTGAGAGCTTGTTGAGCTGCTTTCTCCCTACAGCAGGACAGACTTCAGTCCTCCAATGTCTAAATCAGGGGAGCCCAAAGTGGGTCCTGGAGGCCCGGCATCCTGCATGTTTCAGTTCTCTCCCTAGTGGTCGTAACAACCTCCTCAGCAGGTCAATGTTCCTCTTAGGTCTCTAACGAGCATTATTTGATCCAGGTGTGTTAATCCAGGGAGATAATAAAACATGCAGGATGCCGGGCCCCCAGGACCCACTTTGGGCTCCACTGGTCTAGATGTCTCTGTGCTTCAGCACTTGGTTCCAATGCTAGTTCATTAGCAGAGTTGGACTGCATGAGGCAGCGAAGGCATTTAATTCAAGTGTGTAGAAGAATGGATTAATCCAAAAGCTGCAGGCTGCAGTTTGAGACCACTGGTCTAGTTAAAGGCCACCCACCCCAGATTCTGGTCAGTGGTTCTTTCAGGGCTGGATGCTCCACTGAGCAGCTGTAGATGTCTCCTAGCTGAGGGACGAACTGCAGCCTGGAGATCTGGGTGAAGGTGAAGTCTTCGTTGGGGAAGGGAACGTTGATGCTGGTTCCTTCAGTCACTTTTTGACCGTTTCTGGTCCAGGAGACGTTGACCGGAGCCGGATAGAAACCAGAGACGTGACAGACCAGGATGTTCTTCTCTCCCAGCTCCACTTTGTTAGTGGTGTAGAGCAGGCTGGTTGGAGGATCTGTCAGCAAACACATGCAGGATCACCTTAAACAGCCACAGAAAACAGAAGATCCTTCATGTGGCTTCAACCAGATCTTCTCCAGTTCACCCCAACTAGATTCATCTCTATTTGAAGATCTTTGAGAGGAACCATGCAATATTGAGTACAAGGGATTTGATTGGCAGCAACTATATCTGAGTAGCAGCCCATGGATTCCTCCTGGGACAACAATACTTCATCCAATCTGCAACAAGGCCATAGCAGTTGGTGAGATGGAAACCAATATTTCCATAATCAAATCTGAAGGTCCAAAATGTTTTACTAATTGTGGTGGAAGAGCACGTCCAATTGGACGGGGCAACCATCAACAAACAAATATGCTGAGAAATTCAGAAGATGCTGGACCCCTGATCATACACGGACAGAGCTGTGGTCACTGGAGAGATGACCACAGCTCCTGCATTTCCACCTTCCTGCTCATATTCCTGGACCCAATGACAACACAGTTTAACTGGAACCGAACCAGACATTAACTGGCCAGTGTGAGACATAAAGGAGCACAAGTTGCATCTGACGGGGCTGATTGACTCATTTCTATTTTTCTCTACTGATGTTAGTAGAAATAGTTAGTTGATGATGATGTTGGCTGTCTTCCTATCTTGTATGGATTTATATTTGATGTTGTTTTGATGCCCTGTGTTGTACCTGATTTTTAGAGCCCTGAATGTCTTATTTTTTATTTATTTGTTCCTTTTTACTTGCTGCAGCATTACAGGACTCTAATGAACCTGAACCTGAAGAGATTAGAGATACTGAAGCAGAACCGTCCATAATCTAGATTCAACTGTACAACAGCAAATGAGGATGAAGTCAGATAAAACGGAGCTGAGGGAGAAACCAGAGGTCCAAACGTTCCCACAGTCCTCATTTAGTCTCATCTAAACTTTTTCTCTAGCAGGAAAGGAAGCAGAGTTGATCTTTCCTCACCAAGTGGATCTGGGATGTCCTTCAGACCAATACGGATAATCTTCAGGTTATTTTTGCAGACTTGTAGTTGCCCCACAGATTGCTCATAAATCCCTGAAAAACTTGGATGGCTGACAAAGTCCGGCAGGGTATCAACTCCTGTCTCATGGATGAAGTCGGAGTGCCAAGCCTCTTCCCCATCCAGTGTTATTATCATGTTCAATCCATCCGTGTCAGAACATGCAAGAACCCGGAAACTGTCATGTTGAACTGAAAGGAGAGCAGAAACTGAGTTTAGAGTGTCAGTAACCAGCCTGGATGAGGAGGTGAGACTTTTACCTTCAGCAGAAACACAGAGCAGGACGCAGAGCAGCAGCAGCAGCAGCTCCATTTCAGCAGATCCCTGATGTTTGGTCTGAACTCACCTGAGTCAGTCAGAAACACTCCATCCAGCAGCCAATCACAGCGCACTGTTTAGTGATGTCATCAGTAGGCAGGCTGATGCTCCAGGCTGACTTCAGTCCTGCAGGTTCTGCTCTCTGATTGGTCGGACTGTGACTGGACTCCACCTCCTTATCTTGACAGCTTCAGAGAAATATCAGCTCCTCTGTTGATTTCAAATGAAGTCATTAAGTCTATTTGTTTTCATCCACTCGTTCATAGTGTCTTTTTACAATGATTGCATAATGTAATGTTTTTATGACTTTTTGTGTTTTTATGATGCGATTTGAACTGCCTCGTTGAGGACATGTGTAAACTTGACTTTGCTTCAAATAGCACAGCAGCGCCATCTAGTGGTGAATATGGAAGGCAACAAGACTTTCCATTTCACGCACATTAAAGATACGTTCTTTTTTATTAACTAGTAAAGTACGTTTTAAAAGACGCCGCGTTACAAAATTTGAGCACCAGCCCATAGATTCCTACTATGACAATACTTTAACCAATCTGCTTTAACTTTAATAAAGTTAAAGTTGACATTGAATCGCACAGTAAACGAAGCAAACCACTCGTTTCTCTTCGTTCATTTTCGTGTCCTTGGTCCTCGCTCACTGATTGGTCCATTCATCGCTTTGCTCTTGGCCCCCGTATACTGATTGGTCCGCTGGTCTCGGTGTTGTCCCGCCTCCCCTCCTGATTGGCCGGTGTGTTTCGGATAGTTCGCGTGTTGCGGCTCCAGCAGAGTCACCTTGCTTCGGCCGCTGCTGCTGTTGTGGGGATAGAGCAGAGGAACCGACCGGGCCAGAGGCGTCAGGAAGGCAGCTGGCCACCGACCGAACCGGGTCGACATGGCGGAGACAAAGCCGAAGACCTCTCCGAAGGCCATAAAGTTCCTGTTCGGAGGTCTGGCCGGGTAAGTGCTGCTGCTAGCCGCGGTGCTAACGGGCTAATGTCAGGGGTCAGAGGGCGAAGAGGAGCCTCTGTGCTGTCAGGGCAGATTAATACTAGTTATGGATTATAATCATTATGTGATCAGTGTAATGTTACCGGTGGATTATCACCATGTTGGTGTCGGACTCTCAGAACATGCTAGCTGCTAACGCTAGCTGACAGGACCGGTGTTCCCGGTAATTCGGGTCCCTGTAGATCCTGATCCGCTGTGACCTGATTTACTGGCCGCGATCAGAGGCGCTGATTGGTTCAGAACCTCGTGGATCTGCTCCAGGGGGTTCTGAACCAATCAGCCCCTCTGATTGGATCTGCTCCAGGAGGTTCGGAATCAGTGAGATTGGTTCCGAACCTCCCACCTGACTGCAGGGGGATTATCAATGGTTGCCATGGAACCAGCAGTTGTCTGAGCTCACAGAAAGGTTCTGGTTCTGCTCAGTAGATCAGAACCAGAACTTCTGATGGACCCTCTCTGTCCTGCAGCATGGGGGCCACCGTGTTCGTCCAGCCGCTGGACCTGGTGAAGAACCGGATGCAGCTGAGCGGCCAGGGCACCAAGGCCCGCGAGTACAAGACCAGCTTCCACGCTCTGTTCTCCATCCTGAAGAACGAAGGACTGGGAGGCATCTACACCGGGTCAGTACCACCAGAGGGGTCCAGACTGGACCTGACTGGTCCCATAAGCTGTCTGCTGCATCAGGACCTGTTTCCTCCATGCGGCTCCTACTTCCTGTTCCATTAGGCTACGTCCGTCCTGTAGCTTCTGATCTGACTGCTGATTGGCCGGCGCCGATAACTGATCACACTGATGATGGACTTTATTGAACTGTCACTAATCAAATAGTTTCACAAACCAGTTTTTAAATATTCTGGTTTGTAGAGCCTAGGTACTGAAGTTTTTAAACCCCAGATATTTAGAGACGCTCAGCGTTGTCCAATCAGAAGCCAACTTCAGCTCTATTGTCCAGTATGTTGATGTTGGTGTCATGATGGATCACAGGAAACGTTGAGCATCACTGCGTCTAACATGATGTTTTGTTTAACGATGCTAACAGATGTGGTACAGCATAAAGTTTTTTAATAAAGTTTTCGTCAAAGAAACTGTACGAGTCACTAGCTTAAGCATGCTAGCTGCTAGCCTGTCCAGAGCTAACGCTAGTGAGTAATCCCCTCCTCCTTCGTCAGCACCGGCCAATCAGCAATCAGATCAGGAGCTTCAGGATGGATGTAGCCACCGCTGGACGGACAAGAGTCTTTACTCTGGTCCTGGTGCAGAGACATGTCCCTGTCCCCCCTGTCTGTCCCTCCTGTCCTAACTGAGGACGTCCTCTCAGCCTGTCAGCAGGGCTCCTCCGCCAGGCCACCTACACCACCACCCGCCTGGGGATCTACACCATCCTGTTTGAGAAGATGACAGGAGCCGACGGACGGCCGCCCAACTTCCTGCTGAAGGTCGGATCCTCTGAGGCGGGCTGCGGACCTGGTCCTGGTCCTGGTCTTGGTCCTGGTTCTGGACCTGGTCCTGGTTCTGAATCTGGATCTGGTTCCGGTCCTGAATCTGGATATGGTCCTGGTTCTGGTCCCGGTTCTGGATCTGGATCTGGATCTGGATCTGGTTCCGGTCTTGGTCCCGGTCCCGTTCCCGGTCCTGGTCCCGGTTCCTCCATGGTAACCTGTGGCTCCCCCTGCAGGCTCTGATCGGGATGACGGCCGGCGCCACCGGAGCGTTTGTGGGGACGCCGGCGGAGGTTGCTCTGATCAGGATGACGGCTGATGGGCGGTGAGAGCTGCTCTCTGATTGGCTGCTCTGCTCTCAGGTGTGTGTGTGACCTCAGGTGTGTGTGTGCAGACTTCCTGCTGACCAGAGGAGAGGGTACACCAACGTGTTCAACGCTCTGGCTCGCATCACCAGAGAGGAGGGGCTGACCACGCTGTGGAGGGTCAGTGTGTCAGAAACAGGCAGAGGAGGGGCTCCTCCCATCACATGACCTCTGCTCTGATCACGTGACCCCAGCTCTGACCTCTGACTGTGTTTCAGGGCTGTGTTCCCACCATGGCCCGGGCAGTGGTGGTCAACGCCGCTCAGCTGGCCTCCTACTCCCAGTCCAAACAGGCGCTGCTGGACTCAGGTCAGGATCACACACTGCGAGCTAAGCGCTAACACAGGGCGAGCTAAGCGCTAACACAGGGCGAGCTAAGCGCTAACACAGGGCGAGCTAAGCGCTAACACAGGGCGAGCTAAGCGCTAACACAGGGCGAGCTAAGCG